AAAAATAGTTTTGTTGGAGGTAGATGCTCACTTCTTCACAAAGATGGATATGTATGTATTCTTGTTGCAGCAAATTTGTTTTTCATTAGTCTCATGGTCTAACATGCTGAAAGAGATACGACCAAGGTCCCTCTCTAGTGCTTATGCCGGAGTTCTTCCGCCAGGCATTCCAGGAGCTAGGCACTTCTTTGGAAAATGAAGGTATTCATATGCTTGAGTGTGAGCCCAACTACTGCATCTGGTTTCCAGATCATGATCACATCGAGCTCTCCCGCGACATCCCCCGTCTCAAAGCGCAAATGGAGTATCATGAGGGGCCAGGGGGTTTCAACCGTTTCTGTACTTTCCTCGCCGAATCGGGCATGCAATATGAGCTTTGTAAGGAGAGTGTCTTCAAACAAAGCTTTCCCTCCCTAAGGAGCATGTTCCATCCGGCGCTTCTCAAAGGTTTCCTTCATATCCGGCCTTGGACAAGCATGTATAGCCAAGCAGCCAAATATTTTCGATCGGAAAAGATGCGTCGCGTTTGGAGTTTCGAAAGCATGTATCTCGGGATAAGCCCTTATCGCGCCCTAGGTGCCTTCAGTCTCTTGCCTTACATTGAGATGACTGACGGAATCTGGTATCCGAGAGGAGGCTTTCAGCGCGTATGGAACTACTTCCCTCAAAAAAAGGAACAGTTGAGCTGATTTACCACCACAGGTGTTACATGCACTCAGTGGAGTGGGACGTCGCCTTGGGGTAGAGTACTTATTGGATAGCCCGGTAGCCAAAATCGAGCTCAGTGATGATAATGCAAAAGCAACAGGTGTGCTTTTGGAATCCGGCGAGGTTCTACGAGCTGATATCATTGTGGTGAATGCTGACTTGGTCTATGCTTATAACCATCTTCTGCCTCACTCCCGCAAAGCTGAACGCTTACGCAAGCGGTCTACCTCTTGCAGTAGCATCTCATTCTACTGGGCCTTCAATGAGCAGATTCCTGAGCTTCGACCTCATAACGTGTTCCTGGCAGGCCAGTTTCGCGAGAGCTTTGATAAAATATTTGACGATCATGACGTGCCGGAAGACTTTTCCTTCTATGTCAATGTTCCCAGCCGGGTAGATGTGACAGCTGCCCCAGCAGGGAAGGAATCCGTCATGGTTCTCGTCCCGGTCGGTCGATTAGTTGACACCCTGGATCCCGATGAACAAGAAAAACGGTGGAATGAATTAGTGGCCCAAACGCGCGACATTGTCCTTGACGCAATCGAAGCACGTACAGGAGCCTGCAATCTGCGTGAAAAGCTTGTCCACGAGCTTGTGAACAGTCCTCTTACGTGGCGTGAAAAGTTCAACTTGGATCGCGGAGCCATTCTAGGCTTGTCTCATGACTTTGACAATGTTCTTTGGTTTCGTCCGCAGATGAAACATCCCGCTATTCAAAGCTTGTATTTCACGGGCTGCAGTACACATCCAGGCGCAGGAGTTCCCGCATGTCTGCTCAGTGGCAAGTTCGTGGTCCAACAGATAATGGAAGACTGGATGGAAGCGAAAGGTACCACCAGGGATTATAGACTTTGGGTAATGTTGGCAATGGCGTTTGGGCTTCTGACGGCTCTGTCTTTAGCAAAGTCGTCCTACTTGTGGTAGGGGTGCTATCTAGAAACTGAGCGGTGGCTCCATCCCAGACTATTATTCAGCGTACAATTCTCATGTGCCGCCTATATCTCTTTTTTACCCCACATCCTGGCGACTATATGCCCAAGAAACGTACAAGAAACGTAGTCTCTGTTCTTGGATATATGGTCGCTTTGCATGACCGGTGTCAACACGATGGGCAGTGATCCTCATTCAGAATCCCTCAATCAGAATCTCTCCAGGCAAATGGCGCTCAGGTTTCCGTACCTCATTCTGGTCAATCCCTGATAACATCACTGTTGTGGAAATACCGGGCCAATCTTCAGTACCTTAACAGTGATGCCGCGTCATCTCAGCTGGACACTTCTACGCAATACCAACAAAAATAGACTAGTCATAGACAATATTACGCAACCGAGTGTACAGCGCGTATGAAAATCCAGAATTCAGATACGTAGACACATATTCAACCGACTGTGATAGCAATGATTCCTCGTAGTACCACATCTTACTGACCCAGACATAGAAAGCTATCCAAGGACCCCGGACCAAGCAACATTAAACATGCCGTGACTAAAACAACAACCAACGTAAAAGTCACCCAAATATAGGCAGTCGCGAACATCATTGGTTGTTGGGGCCTTGTGTCCCGTAAAACTTTCTCGCAGACCAACTTACTTCCGGCTAAGCAGACTGGAACCCCTGTGCCGGGGTGGGTGCTAGCTCCTGCAAAGTAGAGTCCATCTATCCTCGGATGTTTGAGACTAGGCCGAAAGCTCAACATATTGAAGAAAGAGTGCGAGAGCCCAAGTATAGCGCCACGGTCGAGGTTGAACTTATCCTTCCACGTGTGAGGGGTCTCATATGTCTCGTGCAGCAATTTCGATCTCAAATTTCGTATCCCAGTTCTTTCTTCGATAGACTTTATAACTAAATCACGTATGTCTGGTATAATCCTATCCCAGCGCTTCTGATCATTGATTCCTGGCTCCCTCAGGCTCCCCACGGGCACCAGCACAACCACGGCGTCTTTGCCAAGTGGGGCTGCTGTTGGGTCAATCCGACTGGGAACATTCACATAGAACGAGGGCTCATCTGGGATACTGTGGTCAATGAATATGGAGTCAAAGCTCTCACGATATTTATCCGCAAGAAATATATTGTGGGATTTGAGCTGTGGAAAGGTGGTGTCAAATGCCCAAAAGAAAGAGATACTGCTGCAGGAGGTATGCCGTCGTTGTAATGACCTACCGTATCCTGATTCTGGGAGTAGATTATTGTAGGCATACACTAGGTCTGCGTTTATGACAACCAGATCAGCGAATATTGCTTCACCTGAACTGAGCCGAACACCCTTTGCCGAGCGTTGGTCCGGAGCTAGGAGAACAGAGTCTACTGTGGCCCGTAGACGGTAGTCCACGCCCAGTCTACGACCAACGTCTGCAAGGGCTTGTAGGACCTGGTGGTGGTTAGTGTTGATTTGTATTCGTAATGTGTTATTCAGTGGAATATGGGAGGTGCCTGATCTGGTATGATTGATAGGTATAACTCACCTTTTGAAACCCACCACGGGGATACCAAATTCCATCGACGGTCTCGGAGTACTGCAAAAGGCTATATGTTCCAGGTGCCTGGTATGGGCTCATACCCATGTACATAGAAGCAAATGTCCATGCTTGCTTCATCTTGGTACTAGTAAAGTACTGCTCAACGATACCAGCCATGGTAGTCCACGGGCGCATAGCGACGAGCGCCCTCAGAACGTTGGGCTGCAGAAGACTGAGGAAGTGTGGAAAATCTCTGTTCATTATATAGTCCAAGGTCAGATTGTAGTATTGACCAGTCTCCTTCAGGAAGTCCAAAAGCTTAGAGAAGCCCGTTATACCCTCGTGTCGGACAACCTCCTCTTTCAACCGTGATATATCAGAAGATAGCTCCACAATATCATTATCTGGAAACCAAATGCAGTAGTTGGGTTCGCATTTCAGTAGCTCTACACCTTCCGAACTGAGGGATGTTCCAAGATCTTCAAAGGTTCTGCTGAAGATTTCACGCATTAAGAGAAGAGATGGCCCTTGATCGAAGCGCTATATTGCTTTAGTTTAGTGGTGAATTTTACAGACCGAGAACTTACGTATCCATCTCGTTGTATAATAGAACATCTCCCTCCAACAAAGGCATGTTTCTCCAGCACAGTCACCGTAAATCCCTCCCGGGCAAGTCGCGCGGCAGTTGAAATTCCTCCCACACCCGCGCCTGTGATATATTGATCAGACACTATGGCACCGTCGAAAGCAGGCTGCAGAATCTTTGAATATAATGTACATACCGACTACGATGGCGGACTTTTTGGCCATCGTGTAAGTGTACTTTACGTCTCCTCTGGACCAATGTGTCAAGTGTCGGGTAGGATTGAAGTAGTGAAGAGGGTTGGGAGAACACAGGATTACATTCGATGATAGCACAGTGGCGTCGAGTAACGCTGCTGCTCAATCCATCTGGCTAAATCGTATGTGCTCCTTGCAGACTACTTCATCTGGAGTGTATCTTTTCATGGAGGTTGCAATTACCGTATCAGCCCGGTATTGTAGATTGCAAAAGTGGGACATTGACATGGTACTCTGACGGATGGAACGTTCTTTTACCGAACTTTGCCATCCTTGTTCCAACTTTTGCGTGACCAAGTAAAGCCGGGAAGAGGGACGATCGGCAATATACTCACCCACCGAGATATAGAAGACGTTTTCGCGTGAGACGCTGAATCAAATGTCAACCTTGCATTCCTACTGTCTTCCAAAGCCCGATTCTTGCTGCACCAGTCCAGAATTGAATTTCCCCGCTCTATGCGCCGAGATGGCCGCCTTCATGTCTATGCAATCCTGTTACAAGATAGGTGTGCGGCATACTGTGTCCAGTGTTGTGATACGGTGCCTGGCGGATGAGAATATCATACGCCATGGAGGGGTACTTGCAGCAGAGCCCATGCGTCATCATGCAGACGTAATCCATGCAGGGGGTTATAGCCAGACCAAGCTACCTGAGGATGAGTTGTTTTCTGTGACACTGCCTCATGTGTTGTATAGTAGGACAGCATGAATTCTTTCAGGCAGGCCTAGATAACTGGTCATGGCTACATATGGAAGAATGGATGCATTGTTGTAGGCTTGTAACGGATGTGCTTCATCCTGCGAAGCTAATAGTCTTCAGTAGCTGTACTATGCCATACGTAGTATGAGAAAAGCGGCTTGCGGTGGTATAAACGAATTCTTTACTTTAGTCTGACAAACCACAAACATTGAGGGTATAGATTCTGTGTTCTACTTGTATCACCGCACACTGCCCCCAAGGATCCATGCATTTATCGAAATATAGTTTTGATATCAAGCCATCATGGCACGATAGGTGACCAGTAACCGACGCCACAAAGACAACTTAAGCTTCCTGACCGACCCAGAGCGATGTCCACGCTTTAGAGCAGCCCCAATCTCCATGTAATTTTCGATTACCGCGCGTAGAGGGCCTTGAAGCTCTACCGGAAGGGAAGCTAGCGCTGGTAATGAACGATCGTGATATTCCTGGGCTTTGATAAGGACACGCTCCCTCAAGCGCTCGACAGATTCAGTGTGTTGACCTCTGATTACATCTGCAGGCGTGATACCTTCTTGCTTGAGCCAGGTAGTAGGAATGTAAACTCGACCTATCGCAATATCTCTTTCAATGTCACGCGCTATATTGACCAACTGTAGCGCTCGACCCATCATTTCCGCTGCTGCCAGGGTCTCATTTCTCACTGTATCGTTCGTAGCATGTGCATAGCAAGGGAAATGATGTACGAGCAAGTCTATCATGCTTGCAGCCACTGTGCCTGCGACATGGTAGGCGTAGTTGTCCAAGTCTTGCTCTGAATGTATGGGGAATGAATTGGACTCGCTATCAAATCTTAGATCCGTGCGGAATCCTTCAAGAAGACTTTGTAATGGCTCAATGCGCAGTCTTGTTGCGGGTAAATTTTTTATCGCTTGGGTGAGCTCCGGGTACTTGGAGTATCCTTGTTCAACGCGGTCCACCTTTGATGTAAAGCGACTTTCCAGCTCCAAAGCGCACTGGTCGAGGACATCTGAGGCATTCTTTCGATCTCCGGCCTCGTCGACCAAGTCATCTGCAATTCGGCAGAAGGAATAACTTCAACGTAAATTAGTTTCCTTACTCATTTAAACGGGATTTTGACTTACAGCATGATTAAGTCGATTCGGAGTGGCCCCTGAAACATAGCAGAACCAATATACATACTCTGACTCGAAATAGCCAGGCGGCAAACCGATTCGTCAATGCAAGCCACAAATTCATCATCTAGGGTATTTGGCAAACGAACAAAATCGTGTAAGATATGATTGTATGAAAGAGGAGTATCGATAGTACCAGGCGAGCTCGCTAGTCGACCGTGCGTCAGAGCTATTGCAAAGTCACTTACTGCAATGCCAAACACTATCATCATATTGGTGAGCAAAAAGAATAATGCTTCTCTGTGATTAAATTTAGCAAAGTCTCTCCAGGCTGCTTCTCGTGACATACTCTATATCGAGCTCTCCCCATATTTGCCAGTTAAGCTTAGTTCCAGCCTGAATAACCCAGGTTCCCTGCTGCAAAGCAAATGTGTCAACTGCCCACAAGAATAATGTAGGTACTATCACAGATATCAGTAGCATCTGTACTGGGAGCTGGACTATGAAGCCGCCTGCGAGTAGCCTGCATACAAATTAAGATTAAAAAGGACTCCTTCATCTCCTGTGGGTCTTTACCATTGTAATAAGAGAATTGGGCAGGCCCAAGCGAGAATGAATCCAAGGTAGGTGTATCTATCTCCATGCCAGATGCAAAACATACCTGCTACAGTAAGTGTAGCAAGAAAAGTTATGCCTAAAGCTCGATAGATTGTGGAGACCTGTCGCAGAAAAGAAGGGAAAACCAAATGACGTGTTAGCGTGACATATAGCAATCCCGTGTTGTAAGTCTGAAAGGCGAAGAAAAAGACGTCTTCCACCGGAACGAGCAATATCCTGTAGCCGACTAATACACTAGGATTATAGGAGAAGATTTCGTTGTGGATTAAATATGAATCCCATGGCATAGTCGCTCCAACTGCTACCTATAAAGATATTAGAGAATAGCACAAACCCAAGCGCTACAGTCATGAAAAACGTACACCTATTATAGTGAAAAGCTTCGCCCAGTCCAATCGTGTCATAAAGGGCCATGATAGTGCGGTAACCCCAAGCGCCCACGGGACGCTGGAGAAAAGATGTCTGCTGTACTCAGTGAAAGGGATTTGCTCGCATGGGGTGTACCTGCTTACATAATCACATACTCATATGACATATTGAGTGAATTGTCTCGGAGCGAAGCGTGCAGTAAGGTACTCAATGATAGTAGCGAAGTACCTCTTTTGTGGTGATGGCGACACGACAACCCATTGCACCCTATATAGTAATTGCCAATGCCAAGACGGTAAGATAACGAGGTCAAGATATACCAAGGAGTGTAACAAACTATCGACAAGTCGATGTTTAGCCGATCATGACGCAGGTATTTTTGAGCTACAGATGAGTGCGGTGTCCCTCGAGCTGCGCTGCAAGATGGCAGAGCCACTCCGAGGTTATTGGCGCTCAATCAAGGATGGAGGTTTTGGTCCTTGCCTCAACTTATTTGAGTATACGTATATTTACAAATCATGCCGTGGTGACTTGCCTTGATACTGTGCTACCTACAATTGCTGAAGGGTATTTGATGGTCTTATCAACGACCACTGATGACGTATACCCATCGTCGAACCTGATTATATACCTTATTTTGTCCAGCCGAGCTAGGCTAGATTAATCTGTTCCTTACACACACCTTTTCAACATTCAAGTTGGCAATCTTCAAGCTATGAAGCAGCAGAGCAAAGAGATGGCAGGTCAGCGAAAGAATTTGTATGATTCCCTTGCTACCGAATAAGCCACTACACTAAGAACGATGAATAGGTATCTCCTCGGGAACTTTGCGCCCATTCAGACCACAGTGTCTGACATTACCTGTGATGTGAAGGGCTCGATACCCGAAGAGTTCTATGGTGGTCAATATGTTCGGAATGGAAGTAACCCGCTTAAAGATGACACAAAGCACGATATCCACTGGTTCGACGGCGATGGCATGCTCACTGGCGTTTTCTTTAGGCGGGATCCAGATACACCAGGGGCACAGCCGGTTTTCTCTAATCAGTATATCGTGACAGATGTTTACAGTGCCCGTAAAAAGTCCCCATGGATCTACCCCGTCATTCCTGGTATGAACACCATGATTGATCCCAAATCATCATCGGTCAAAATAGCAATGAGCATCGTACGCACAGCAGCGATAGTGACTGCATCGATCTGGGGTTGGATCGCCCGTCCAATTAAAAGAATAGGTACCGCCAATACAAGCCTCTTTCATCACGATGGCCGAGTCCTTGCCACTAATGAAATCGGGCCTCCCATGCGGGTTTTTCTTCCCTCATTGAAAACAGTTGGCTGGTTTACCGGAAGCCAGGCTGAAGGCGAGTCAGATCAGGAGGATCCATCAATGCCCTATTTCGGTGCTCCTGGTCTTGAAGGGGTGTACAAAGAAATGACTACGGCTCATGTATGGATTCTAGACCGACCCAGAAGCTTATTTCTTGGAAGCTGACATCATCTCAAGCCCCGTGTGGATCGCGAGACAGGAGAACTCATATTGTTCCATTCCACGTTTCTCCCGCCTTATATCAATTACTCAATTGTGCCGCAAGGCGTCCCTACCAACGCCACCCCGGCTTTGAACCAGGCTGTGCCGGGATTGAAATCAGGGAAGCTGATGCACGATTTTGGAGTGTCTCACAGGCACACCGTACTTATTGATACACCTGTTTCGTTGGATCCCTACAGGCTTCGCCATGGTAGACCAGCGGTCGAGTACGACCCCGTAGGCCATACACGCCTTGGGGTTTTTCCACGACACTCACCAGATAGGGTAAAATGGTATACAACCGATGCCTGCATAGTGATGCACACCGTCAATACTTGGGACGAGAGGAATGTAAATGGCTACCGAGTTCACACCTTGCTGTGTCGCATCAACAGCCTTTCTTCTCTATACTGGATGGGTGGGCTGGACTGTCCGGAATGGGCCTGTCCATCTGAACCCGAGTGCCGCCTTTACTATTATCAGTTTCCCTCCGCCGGTTCCTCGGATCATATCGTACAGCAATGGGCTCTGTCCGTGATCCCGTTTGAGTTTCCTCATGTCCCTGAACATTTGCAAATGAGTGCAACAAAGTATGTCTACGGCTGTTCGATGAGGGAAGGAAACTTTGCGACCAGGCATAACAGCTGCTACAAGATAGATAGCTTGGTGAAGGTCAACGTGGAGTCAATTCTCCGGAAGGGGCTTGATAATCCACCATCCCAGGTTCATGGATGTGTTGATACTCGCTCTATCCACGAGATCATCAACTCCCAGGATCCGCATGATCCCATCCAAGTCTTTGCTCTGCCTCCAAGGCATTACGCACAGGAATGCTCATTCGTGCCTCGCAAGGATGGTGTCTCTGAGGATGATGGATGGCTCGTTACGTACGTCTTTGACGAAGCTTGGCTGGACGACAGTGGGGTTCCTCTACCTGATGCACACAGCGAGTTGTGGATCATTGATGCGGTGAGCATGAAGGAAGTTGTTGGCCGGGTGATCTTGCCACAACGGGTTCCATATGGGATGCATGGAAACTGGTTCTCGGAGGAAGAGATCTTGAACCAAAGAGGGGTCCATCATTATCGCAATGAGTAGATACGACACCTCCATGCAAGTGTCTGAAGATTGGGCATTGCGGATACGAGGTCGCAAGTTGATATTCCTTCCCGAAGTGGATCCGTGCATTGTATCGTATCTTTCAAAACCATATACTGTAATTTACAATACACAGAACCCTGGTTTAGTGAAGATGATCGGCGCAAGGGGATTGGATGCATGCATAACGCACCTTGGGATGATGAGATATCCTCACGGAGAATATTCCCGCAACAATTATCTCCTGTGATACGTTCGTGTGACTCTGCCTTTTATCCGCGTGATGATCGGGTCAAAACCAGTGACAATTTGATAATGATTTGTTGAAGCAGTCACCCCATGTAGGCTTGGTTGGCGCTCGGGCCACCACAGGAAGCCCCTCATCGCGCTCGTTTCGCTGCGCGCTCTAGATAGGCAATACAACTGATTTTGCTGCATTCTCTTGCTTCGTTGTGCTTACTCCCGCTGTAGGGCGCGTGCCTTGAATTGGTTTAACAAGGATGGTCTGCATCGTCAGGAATGGAGAAGTGCATGGAGGTAACAAGGATTGGCCTGCAATATGAGGGGCATGCCACAGAACAAGTATCTGAATAAAGCCAACAACCATATATTTGTCGTTGTCGGGATCCTCCAATACACATAGTACAGTTATTGATACAGTGACTTTTTGGAGAGTAAATCAGGCTTTACCTTCTATTCCACCATGATATTCTCCTCAACAAGGCCCAGGCTAGATGGTATGACCATGTTGCGATACAGTACGCATTTTTCAACCTGACAGAAAAGCAGTCCTCACAGATGTAACTGTTTGGGACTGGCTCTTCGAATCCAGGCATTACACGGCGCAACAAGCTACAAAAAGAGGTGGCTTCAACAATGCTGCCACGGGTGAGCGGATGGGCTACAAGGATGTGAAAGCTTATTCCACTTTCGCGTCAACCGCGTTAGTACAGAACCATGGCCTTCGGCCTGGTGACACCGTCATCATTCTTAGTCCGAACTTGATACAGTATGCAGTAGCAATGATGGCGATTGTTCGAGCTGGTTGTCACCCACGCTACATTGGCGTCCTTTAACAGGTATGCTTGGTTTACTGACTTTCATTAGGTGGCATTGTAGCAGGCGCATCCCCTGCTCATGGTGCAGATGAACTAGTCTATCTCCTCATTTCTTCACGCGCGAAGTTTATTTTCACCGTTCCTTCCTGTATGTCTAAGGTAATGATATCAGCAGACAGGGTAGGAATTCCGCATGCGAGGGTGTTCCTGCTGGAAGGGCGACAGGATTCTCAAACAACGCTGCAGGATTGCATTGATATTGGAAGATCTTATGGCCCTGGCGGTCAGGAGGGGTCGTTCAAAATACTGGATGGGAGCAGTAACCGGGATTCGTGTGGATACCTGAACTTCAGTAGTGGAACCACGGGACGGCCAAAAGCTGTAAGTTTCAAACCATTGCATTTGTCTTCATGTGTTCCTATGATACCTGCTAATATAGAATGGCAGGTCATGCTGTCACATCATAATATCATCGCACAGTGCATGCAAGCTAGGCAAACGTCTGACATCGAGAACAAGAAGATGCTGGCCGTGCTCCCACTCTATCATGGTAGGACTGTGTCCCCTCTGGATGTATTTTGGATATCGGCTGCTAAACTTAACCACAAGTCATAGGATTGATCCATCTGATACACGTGCCCATAATGCGTGATATGGAGGTATTGATGCTGTCGTCATTTACCATGGAATCCATGCTAGGCACCATTGTGAAGCACCAAATCACGGAAGTGCCAATTGTACCCCCCATGATTGTTCGACTTCTTACTGATCCAGAAGTGGCCCAGTATGATCTTTCCCATGTTAAAACCTTCTCTTCTGGTGCAGCGCCAATTGCAACAGAGTTACTTCGGCAGCTAGAAAAAGCTTATCCCGGAACTGGCCTGAAGCAAAGCTACGGGATGACGGAGAGTTGTGGCGCCCTAACAACCCATTCCCTTAATGAAGAGGGATACAAGTATGGGCATACTGTTGGTACCATCATGGCTAATACAGAGCTGCGGATTGTTGATACAATCACATCATTTCCCTTGGGTTATAGTGCACAGGGAGAAATTCACGCCAGAGGCCCGCAAATAGCCATGGGATATTTAGGTAACGATAAGGCTACTATCGAGACCTTTCCTCCAGATGGTTGGCTACGCACCGGTGACGTTGGCTTCATTGACAGCGAAGGATTTCTGACCATCACCGATAGGATCAAAGATATGATTAAAGTCAAAGGCATAGGTGTGTCTCCTGCAGAGTTGGAGGATAGCTTGTTGCAGCACCCGGCTGTGGCGGATGCAGCGGTTGTAGGTATTCCCGAGGAATACTCGGGACAAAGACCGAAGGCATATGTGGTGATGAAGGGAACATCTGACAGTGGAGCAACTGGGGAGATTTCTTGGCGCGTTGTGGGTCAGGAGCTGATGGAGCTGATCCGGTCTCAGAAAGTGCGTCACAAGTGGCTGTCGGAAGTTGAATTCATAGATGCCATTCCAAAAGTGCCCAGTGGTAAAATCCTCCGCAGGGAGCTTCTCGAGCGCGCAGATGCAGAAGGCATGCAGCAGTGCAGGATTGTGCGGGAAATTCAGTCAAGGGGGAAGCTGTAAAGGTTTAGGGGCATATGTGCAACTTGTCGCATCCAAAGCAAGTTCATTTTACTATAGCCATAGAGATTTTTGCTAATTAGCCATACTGGCAACGCCCTGATCATATTCTTTGTATGGATTTCCTCTTCCGATATCAGCACCATTTACGCCATCCCCACAGTCAACGAAATACTGCTTCCAAGGCAGGTTGATGAACGCCAAGGGATTGTCCCTGCAAGTGTACCATTTTATGCAGCTTCCTGAGAACCCTTGCCTCATTAGCTCGCTATAGGCATGGCTTGACGTGAGACTGACCGAGGAATGTTACCCCTCATGGAGAATTTGGAAGCAGAGGCCTATACTCTCCCTTGTATATACCCTGGACCAGAAGCCGAACGATGCCTTCTCTTCCAAATCCTTCATCACTGCGAATTTTATCTTTCCGTCACCTTTTATTGACACTCAGCACTGACTTTTACCATGACGGCCCACGTACTGAAGGTTTACCGAGCATCTCCCTCCGGTCAGATTCATCTTGACCATATCACCCGTCATCTCTCCCCTGACGAGGCACTGGTCGAAGTGACGCATGCCAGTATATGCGGTACAGATAGCATCTACCTACATTCTCAGCAAGTCCTAGGCCATGAGGGAATAGGCATAGTTAGGGCGATCGGGGCTGATGTGCGGAGTGTTCGAATCGGCGACCGTGTGGGAATGGGCTACGTACTGAAGACGTGCGGGGAATGTCAATCTTGCAAATCAGGTAAATGATTCTGCCTCATTCGTCATGTAATATTGAGTATTGTCGCTTAGATGATAAATTTCGAATCACTCTGTAGGCTGGGACCAATATTGTCAAAGAAAAGACCTTTATGGCATGTCTGACCCTGACCGCGGTTGCCTCGGCTTCAAAACTGTCTGGAACGCGAACGCCCTTATACCCATTCCAGATGGGCTACACTCTGGTGATGCTGCGGCGCTGATGTGCGGTGGTGCTACTGTCTGGACTGTGCTTAGTCGCTACGGCATGCAGCCTAAAGATCGTGTTGGAGTATTGGGCATCGGCGGCATGGGGCATCTGGCCATCAAAATGGCGGCTGCGATGGGATATCATGTTGTTGCTTTCTCCGGATCGGAGTCCAAGAAGGCGGACTGCTTAGCCTTTGGGGCTAAAGAGTACTATCTGACTAACGGCGAATCAATGGAAGGTCTGACTACACTGATTGATTTCCAAGTTATCCGCTGACAGCTACATTTAGACATGGAGCCACTGAAGCACCTTCTCTTGTGCGGTTCCAGCTCGGAAGATTATACGTTGTAAGCCATTGATTTCATTTTCGTCACTTTGATCATTCAAACTAAGCATGGGCTCGGTAACAGCATTCTTTCTCTTCTGGCAGTACATGGAACAGTCTATCCATTGACAGTCTCTCTTCAACCGGCTGCTATTCGAACCATCATGCTGATCAACAAGGGCCTTCGGATCCAAGGTTCTTTGGTCGCATCCCGTGGGGATCTAGCCAAGATGCTGCAGTTCTGTGCGGACAAGGGAGTGCGACCTGCCACAAGCATTTTTAGCCTTACTTCTACAGAGGAGGTCAACCAGGCCATGGAAGGCCTGCAGCGTAACACGGTTCGCTACAAGGCATTGCTTGTCGCAGATGAACATCCACTGAAGCTCTAAGGAAATATGACAAATTACAGTGTTTTTGGTTCCATTCAGCATAGGATGGTAGAAGCGTAGTGTAATGCAGTGTCATTGGATGATATTATCGTGCCTGCACCTCTGCAGAAGGTATATATGGGATCGAGAAGGACAGATCAAAAGTAGGCGGGAAACTCCAATATGGCCTACCACGGCACCACTTCTCCATCATATTGGTTCAACCCTTCTGCCTGCTCCCATCCGGGAACTCGAATATTGAAGAATTTCCCATTATTTTCTTGAGTTGCAGGAACTATGATATCCAACAGACCTTGTACACTCTGTTCAGCTGTTATATCCGCCCTCTCTCCACCAAGGTCTGTCTTCACCCACTTTCAAAGAAGTTAGTTCCATGATTGTTTTGAGACACGGCGATAGGAAACGTACACCCGGCGAAATTGCAAGGAACGTGAATCCCTGATCCGCGAGAGACTGCGCGTATTGCATGGTAAGCATATTCAGTGCTGCTTTACTAACTTTGTAAGCTGGCACTGGAAAAAGTGCGAACCTGGGTGCCATCGTGATTGAGCCAAGTGTTGTCGAACTGGACGCAGTTAGAACCACGGTAACTGATGACTGGGCGAGGGGCAGAAGACATACATGTTTACCACTTTCTTCAGATTTCCTTTCCTAAGCAGTGGTAAGAAGGCACTTGTTACCAAATGGGCACTGGTGACATTGGTGTGGAAGACGGAGTCCAAGTTATCCCTATTGACAGTCAATAGCGCAATATATGGAATCAGGAGTATTACCGCTAACATATTCTCAATGCCGCCCCGGGTTGAGGGCATGATACCGGCATTGTTAATCAGGACATCAAGGCCTTTCCCCAATAGTACGCTTTCAACGGTCGCAACCGCGGGTTGTATACTGTTCTTGATTTCGACATCCATGGATACATGAAGAACTCGCCCGGGGGACTGCGCCACGAGACGTTTTAGATCATCGGTCTGGGTACGTGCCGCTGCAAAGATGACGGAGACTTCGCTGGCGGGTTTGGAGGCCAGTGTGCGGGCTGTGGCAAGACCAATGCCCCGTGAAGCGCCTGTAATCAGGTAGGATGCCATGGCGAGAAAAATATATAAACGATTAGATAGATTGAACACGAGATTTATGCTCTCTCCCTGGGCGTCTTTTGTATCATATTCCAGTATGTGAGCTCGACTATATATAGTACTAACGACGGTGGAGACCCGTATATGCACGTATCCGCCCTCTGATGCTTTGAAATCAAAGCCAATAATTAACCAGTGAAGCTATTCGAACGTATAGTAGTATGGTACGCGAAGGGTAAAGAAGGACATCGTAGAATCCTTCGTTAACGTCATTAGTGGGGGCTGCTGCATTTGATGCCGAACCCTGGATTTGTCAGAACGGCTTATTACAAATCACTCATCAGCCCATATTGGCAGAGGGCAGATTGGAGCTTCATTGTATTATACGGGCCCCATTTTATTTCTTATATCACGTTCTTTCTGCTCATGAAGGAATCCAACATAATTTGCATGGCGCCGCTCAGGCCGTGATCAGGGCAACTGGCGAATCGGGAGCGGCACAGTATTCGCAAGCTCCGACCGTGGACTGTGCCCGAATGCATAACTTCTCACTCATCTACTGGAACTACTCAGTTCAATGGAGGTGGAGAGGGATCGACTTCCCTACACTCTCAAAAATTATTTAAATGGGGTAGGATCTATAACATATGTGGAGTCATGATCTTGTTGTTGTCGCTCTGGCACAAGCTGTCGCTCATCTCTGGAGGCCAACAATATAATACTTCCAATCATAGACAATCATCTTCATCGTCGCCCAGTTCTCCTTCCTTCTGCGTCAGTCGATCGAAAAAGTCCAGGACTACCGCATCCTGAAGCCGCCGTTCTCTTCCTTGTCGAACTATGCTCCGACCTCGGCATGCAGAGCGTCAATGACCTTCTTCCGACGCTTATTATGCAGAGCATGCTGTATAGTCCGTTTCACGCCTTGGACAGGATATGTAGCGAGAACCAAAGAACCTAAGTTCGATGTGTTAGCAAGCATTCGCACAACTTCCCCACCCCGTGTCTCAATAACAAGGTATGAGAGATCTCACTTATCATGAACTATCTTCCAACCGCCCCAAAACTGCCCTTCAGAAACCCCGTCGCAAACCACTTCGCTCCATTATCTCTCGCCACCTTATACGGTTGGTAAAAGGTATCCGTCATTCCTTCACCAATCCCAAAGGCAAAGGACTTAGCTCCAGCCATTGTTCTAATTTTCCAGTCCTTAACTTGGCCGTAATCGTGAACCTTGTCTCCATACAGGCCGGGTAGAACGCGAGAGCCCTCTGCTGCCACTAGTGGGATATCGACGATCACGCCGGGTACGTACTTGATTGTCAACTTGCCAGAGACTTTCACAGTGACTAACGCCATGGCGACTGCTTTGTTCTGCTTTTGGACCTCGGTAGCCTCCGGCGTTAGTGCGATATCGTTCATAGATCGGGACTTATGGATATGCTGATGTGTAGATGGGGACTGGAGGAATTGTGTGTTCTCTATGCTCGTGCTTGAGCGAATGGTGCCGGAAGGTGTTCTTGGTCGTGATGTATGGCAGAACTACAAAAAAACACATAATATCGAATAGGACAGAAATATGGAATACTAGAATTGGGTATGTAACCCCAGGCGGACACAACGAGGTATGAGTTGTTGGGCATTTACGCCTCATTCAATGGCTGCTTGTATACTACCCCATCGACGGTAGTAACCAGGGTCCCATTGGCGTTGAAAATATTAGTCATGGCATCGTCAACTACATGAAATCCATCAGGGCTGGTTATCTTCGTACTAGAGGAAACTCCATTTCCGGTGAGGTTGGAATGCCAGTCGAGGCGGGTAGATGAATATGACACCATAGTGGCGGCCACCGACTCATACCCATTTATATAATGAAGGCCATCATCAGAGTAGTTATGGTAGGTGGCCGAAATAAAGTTGATAGCGGAACTAGCCTCGCTCTTTTGGAGAACAACATGGGCCAACCCCGAGTGGAGTCCATGGAGCGTAAAGTTACCTGGGGGCACATTCAAGACCTCGGGAATGCTGGTGTTCCCTGGGGTATATGGCAGTCCCCATGGTACGGTATCGGAAGCCGGATGCACAGGGTCAGTATGATAAGGCTGCCGACTGGTGAGTCGGGCCATCATCAGACGCGTGGTTCGGCCACCGGGCTCAGTGGATTTGGGGCATGGTAGCGGGTTGGTACCGCCACAAGCAGGAGGTATGACCATCTTCTGCCAGTACATGACCCGAGTGCCATCAGGAGACCACCG